CCTCGATTCTTTAGGACTGATGAAAAGTAAATGCAAGCAAAGTCGTGAACTGCATCATTGGAAAGGAATCACCGAATCTAATGTGGGGAGTTAATTAATGCTTCCCTCCCCTTGACACAGACTGACCCTGGTACTCAGACATTCTGAGTCAATAAACAATTGTTGTACACAGATCATCCATTAGAAGGTGATGGCAAGAATTTTTTAAGCAAATCTAAAATTGCAATGGGTGACCTAATCCCGCTGTAGTAATGGGAGAACTGAAGAATCATTTTTCATAGTATCTCATTTATAAAAAGGTCCATGCCATTGCCTAGAAAAAAATGGAAGCTGTGAGGTGCAAATGGGACAATGTGGGGTGGTAACATATTATTTGGGTACTAAGTACCAGATACGATGTGAATCACTTAACACGCATGATCTGGGTGATAGACAGAACAATCCAACAAGCTAGGTGTTATCATCATCCCTGTTATATAAACAAAGACCAGAGCACAGAGAGGTCACGCAATTTGCCCAAGTCACAAAGCTACAACTGTTATCACAGGAAACTGGGCTAATCTTCATTAGAGCTGGCACCTCCCTGAAGACCTGTATATGTCAGGACTGCTGGAGGCCTTTTATATGCACGTTACTTAATCTTCACAACAACCTTAGGTGGTCCCTACATGACTGCTATTCCCATTTTGTAGACAAGAAAACAAAAGTTTGAAAGGGTGGGTGGCCTTAGGGTCACACAAAGAACCAGGATTCAGACTCAGGAAGTCTGCAGCAGGAAGCCCCTACTGCCCCCCAGGAATCAGGAGATCCGCGGTCACAGGGTCAACAGAGCAGGGGCACGGAGGGGACTCGTTTTCAATTGCAGAAGGAGGATCTGTCTGGGCAGGGTACCTGGAAGATCTTTTTGCCTCTCCAGGAGAGAGTAGGAATTGGAGCTGTCCTGTGAGGATGGGGACCGATGGAGGATTGTGGGGAGCGCTGTTTGGGAGCCAGGCTGGGGCACAGGGTCTCCTTGATAATAAGAGAAACGAGAAACAGATCCTGGAGACCCTTTCCTGGAGTTCCCAGCCAGCGAAGGAATCTGTCGGGGTCTCTCAGGTGAGCATCCCTTCTCCTGACAACCATGGAAACCTGCCCCCCAGACACAGCAGCAGCCATGGGGCTGTCTTCCTGCAGGAAGTCCCCCCGGCCAGCTCTCCTGCCTCTCCCTGCCCGGCCCCACCCCAGCCTCTGCCAGCCCGGCTCCCCCTGCAGCCGCAATCATTAGAACACTCCTGGGCCTTCCCTCCCCCTTTATGGTTGTCAAATTGATTTCACCACCGCGATACCTATGGCTCCCAATGAAACTTAATTAAAAATACCATTTAATCACCAAGTTACAAAGGCACACTGGATAAACGGCATTATCACTTCAGCGCATTTTAATCTGCACTGCTCCTCTCCTTCTCAATCTGTTTGGATGAGAATTGCCTTTTCAAATAAGAATCCCCCGTCTTCCACGTGCTTGCCTCTGACAGATCTCCAAAACAAACAGTATTTAGCGTGGCATGGCTCCAAATGTATGCAATTTGCCCAGTGGTGAAATCAGCCTTAACTAGAGCAGGAAAAAAAAAGTTGCATTCGAAAATACCTTCCCTCGAAACACACAACAAAACCTTGTACTGAATGTGGGGTATATTCATTAAACGGGACCTATGGAATCTCATTGCTAGCATCCTTCGATTCAGTTGGTGATGGATTTAGAAGCTTATTACTAAAATTGTGTCACAAGCGATGCCATGACCCCGCTCTTCTCTGTCTAGCAAAGTCCCCAGGGCTGGAGGTGGCCAGTGGCAGCAGCAGTGGACTCGGCTGCAGCTGTAGGTGCGGCTGGAGGGATGCAAGGGGAGTGCAGAGCCGGGCGCCGCCTCACGCACTTGGAGGGGCTCGCAGGACGTCTCAAGGTCTCACCCGGGGATGCGGGACATTCCCAGTTAGGAAGCGGTGCCTTTGGACTGGGCGTCTGCTCTCTCAGAGACCCTTTGGAATCCAGACAGAAGCCAGAGCCATCATGTAAAAGCATAAGAATATCATATCAAGTTATCCCCACCCTTTCCCTGTGTAGAACCTGTCAGTGTTGAAATCAGATCCAAACGCTGGCCTGGCCTCCTCTCCCGCTGCATCTCCCTCGCTCTCCTCTTGTTTCTCTGCCGCGGCCAAGGGGTACCCCACTCCAAGTGCCTTCCTGTCTTGGGGCCTTCGTACCCGCTGTTCCCTTTCCTGGAAAGCTCTTTCCCACACCTCCCTTCCCTGACCTCCTAATCTAAGCCTCCCCTCGGCACTCCCCAGCTACACTCCGCCCCCTTCCCCAGTGGGCTCCCTTCCTGGCACTTACGATGATCTGAACCATCTTGTTATTTATGTGCTGGTTTATCGTCTGTCTCCCCACTCCAGGGTAAGTTCCTATCTTGGTCCCTGCGTATCCTGGCACCCGGCATGGGGGCTGGCACAGAGGAGCCACTGGAAGGCAGGGACCTGTCCTTGGATGCTCAGGGCTCACCACGCCACTGAGCTGTGGCAGGTGGGCAAGAAAGGTCCGTGGGAGGGGGGAAATCAGCAGCACTTGGTGCAAAGGGGTCTCTTCAGATCACTGTTCTCAGACAGCCGGGACGGGGGATGGGGAAGCCTGGCGGGAAGCCCGTCCCCGGGAAAGTCCTTCACTAGTTCACGGGGGAGAGGCCGGCCTCCCCCTGGCCTTGTAGGACCTGACTTGGTTGTCAGTGCCCCCAGTCCCGTTTGTATCATCTCTTGCCTCCCCTCCTACCCCCGAAACCTCCCTGGAGAGCATAAGTGATCCTCAGACACACTGAGCTCTGCTCACCGGAAGCCACCATTTCTCTTGAGAAAACATGATCTCACCTTGCGGACTCACTCCAGGTGGTGGGCTCTCCAGCCTCGGCTGTACAACACCTGGCCCCGGGGAGGACTGGGAGGACCTCCTCCAGCCGGGCCCACCCCGGCCGAAGAGGCAGCTCACCCACGGCACGCGAGGAGAAAAGAGCAGAACCTCTCGGCTTCTCATGTCATCCTTTTCATATTTTTATTGTCTACGACTGTTTAATGACGTACACGACGTATCAGTACAAGTGGTGCACAGATGCAGCTCACTAGGAATACACACACACTGAGGAAAGCACTAAACCTCATCATTTACTTCCACTACAGGGGTGCAAGCAAGCAGGAGGGGAGTGCTGACACGAAGGGGCGGAGCAGGTCAGGTTTACAACAAATGCTAATAGGGCCAGGGGGGTTCACGCCCCACTAAGAGCTCACTGCCAGGCCAGGAGGGAGGCCTCGGGCTGCCAAGTCCTCTGAATTCTAAAGGGAATGCACATGTGTTTATTTTATGTGAACTCTCCCAATTTTTATATATTGGCATCTAACGAAATATAACAGAGAACGAACATGGAGAGGGATAAATGAAATGCCAGGCGAGACGGCCTCGAGGGCGCCGGTCTCTGACTTCCATGTGCCGCTGGCTCCTCCCCTACGTGACTTTGTGTCCTCTCGACGACAGCCCCGGGGGGCAGTGCGTCATCTCCTTTACTGACAAGTCGGGGCGCAAGGACAGCAGGGAATTCACCCAACGTCTAAGGGACTCGAGTCTCCAGATGACGAGATCCCGCTGCCGTGCGCAACGGGGCCTTCTGTGGTGGCCGGCTGTGTGAATGAGCCCGGCCCGGGGCGATTCTGACGGTGGGAGTTTGGTTCTCAGCACGCCTCTCAATGGGCATGAGAGCCCTTCAGCTTCCACACTACTGCACACTACGACAAGAGACGGCAGCAGGTGGGGAGGGGGTAGCTATGCTCACGATTCCTGGGGTCACCAAAGCAGGAGCCGGGCCCAAAGGGGAGAGACGGGTTAATGGCATCACAAGACGGCATGGCATGGGGATGGAGGACGGGAGGAACAACGTCTACGTCAGCTCCGCTTACTGATACATAATACTACAAATATTTCCTGGGTGTTTAACTACGTGTCAGAACATATTCTAAGTCTGTAGCTAGATTATTTCATCTAATCCTCACCGTGTGAGTTGGTGCCTTTAGTATCCCCATTACACAGAAGGGGAAACTGAGGCACAGTAACATGCCAAAGGTCACAAAGCTAGTGAGAGTTTCGATCCGGGCACTCTCAGACCAGAGCCCAAGGTCTAACCTCTATGCTGTATCATCTCTCTGCTGCTGCAACATCATCAGGCTGGGGCACTGGGATTCTTTAGTCCAACCTGTCATTACGTGCGAATGGGGGAATTACAGAAAAAGAGGTTGTATGCTGGCTAAATCCAGGAAGCAGTGTGTCTCTTTCCTTAGATCAGGGAAACGTCCTAAGGACAGGACGTCAACTTGATTTTCATTTTCAACGCCTCTCCTTTCCTGTGTGCAGAGCACAGGACTCATAACTCAGGTTTTGCTTAGGTCTGTCTCAGTGAAGTGGAAGAGGCTGCTCTCCAATGAGCCATTTCTCTTTTAATTTATGTCGCCTATGGGGATAGCGGCTACAGAGAACTGGAAAAGAGAATCTCCTGCTCTCAAACTTGTGATAGAAGTGTTGTCCAATAGGACTTCCTGCAGCGACGACAATGTTTCGTATCTGTGCTGTCCAGTCTGGTAGTCACTGGCCACACACGGCCATTAAGCACTTGAAATGTGGCTGCTGCAACTGAGGAACTGAATTTTTAATTACAATTAAAACTGAATTTAAATTTAAGACGCCACATCTAGCTAGTGGCTACCATATTGGACAGCACAGTCTCTAAAGGGCGTGGTGAGAAAACGAGACGAACGTCTCTCAATCTGTCTTCCCCCGGTTGGCTTCACAGTCATCCACTCTAGAGTCTCTGAATGGCTTGGGGTGGAGGAAGGGAGGCTGGGCTCTGCCACAGGCTGCCCCTGTCACCTCCCCTGGCCTTGGGAGCTGAATGGCTCACATTAAAAATCCAAGTGGGGAATAGTTCTTAGGGGGAGGTTCTTGTTTAATACCAAATCAGATTATAACACTGTGTCACTTTTAAACACTTGAACATTCGTGGGCTCCATGCCCTAGCTGTTTCCAAAGGGGACCAGGTTCTGCAAGTCTAAAGGCCAAGTCTACCCATATTGCCCTTGCCTGGGCCCATGCGAAGGTCGGAGATGAGAAGCCAAAAATATCTTTTCCTTCTCCACCTAAGACTTGTGCTCCTTCTAGGGTTTTGCTTCCAGAAGCAGACCTCTGAGTTCTGAAACCACATCTGTGAGGTCGAATGGCAGAGGCATCGAAGCATCATCCTTCTCCCAGTATGGCCGACACTCGGGCTTCTGATCCACGGGTAAAGTTCGGGCAATTCGGCACTGGCACCTGGAAGAGACAGAAGACGCAACTAATCCGTGGGAAGATTCCTGGAAGACCCCAACCCATGGGCAACTTGGAGGGACACTGCCCAACGCTCCAAAGACAATCCCCTGTGGTGTGGTGACGATACGGAAGAATGAGCGTGCAAGGCAGAAAGCAGGCGTTCACAAGAAGGAAGAATTGCTCTTTATGGTGCTGGAACTTCTTTTTTTTCAATTCCCAGATTTGTATTATCTCTAGTGGCTTCGCAGAAGCCAATCATCAGGGAAATTCAGTTACTCTGCCTTTCAAATGGTGAATTATTTTTTCATTCTCTCAACTGTTATTTAAAGTGTGTGATTAAGCCATTATCAGATTTAAATGTTTGTGGGATTTCGATGTATTACTAGATTACTGGGAAAGATTAAATTGAATTTACTGCATTAAAATGTCCAAGAATAGATTAAACAATATTACAGACCAGGATTGACTTTGGAGATCCTGGAGATTTACAAGTGTCCCAGCTTACTGTGCTCAGAAAAAGGCACTCCAAGGAGAGACCGATTTATAAGGATATATGCAAATAGAGGTTAACAATCATTTCCACTGATGAATAGGAGGGGGAAACTTCCACAAAATTAAATTAAGAGGCTCGCAAGAGTTACTCCCTAAGGAAAACACTTAAATCACGGTTTTTATTAAATGGATTATTCATCAATAGTAGAGAAATTAATTATCATAGGCAACTACATAATAGCCTCGTAAGAAAAACGTTGGGGCAACATCGTCACACCTGGGCAGGCATCTCCACCTGTCAGAGAGCTGCATATTTAAAATTGGTCTGGGAAAGCCCTGTGGCTTTAGCTTTATCTGAAAGAAGAGGATGAGAAAGAAGGAAGCACAAATTGCAATCAAGAATGAACACTCTCTCTACCCTCCCGGAGCACACGGTGGTGAAGGCGCGTGCACCCAAACCAAACACTACGAGTGCATCTGGAAGGGGCGCCTGGTTCTCCCCAACTCCTTACTCCCCTCTCTGCATCGGCCTCTAAATCAATTAAACAGTGGCCACACCCACTATTTGTCTTCTGCATAGGACTGACCATGACGAGATCAAAGAGAGGAATATCCTGGCCCCATTTCCAAGCTTGATGGAACAGAAGTTTCCTGACTAAAAGACAGCTCCTTCTCTGGGGAATTATTAATGGGGAGGGGATCCCACGGGAAAACATACTTCAACTTTACACCTATTTTCTCGGGCGGTTAATTGCCACACCGGCATCCTGTGCACTCAATCCGTCGTACATTACACATAACATTCCAATATATCTTCAGCTCTCCGCATCGGGCCCTGATAATAGCGTCTGTTAACATGCACTAAGTACTATTATGTAGCACATCACTTCATAAATAATAAGATTAGCTGACCTCAGGGCCCCAAGAAGAGTAATGTGTTTAAATGTTCTCATTATTTATTTAAAACAAGAATTAAAGCAACAGAAGCTGCTTTTGACAATCCTCTTAGCATAAATATTAAACTGTTTGCACTGATAAGCCCCACACAGCGCTGAAGAACAGAGGGTGCGTTCTGCCGACTCCTTCAGAAGGGGTGTCGGCGACTCTGCCACTGCTGTTGTGGTTCTGAGGGGACATCGCTGCCGTTCTAGAGACAGTCCCTACATCACATGAAAGGGATGGGGGAAATTAATATTCAAGGGAAGCTGGGACTAATTACAAAAGAACTCTGCAGAGCTTGTTAAATTGTGCTTTCTCTCTGCCTCGGAATCACAGAGCAATGCTCCATTTACCAGGGAGGGAAAGTTATTCCAAATTGAGCATTTCAATCTCACAGCGGATAAATTATCTGTGCACACATTATCGTGGCTGGCAGATTAAAGGGCTGTGATAAGTGTCGGTCCACCTAGAATATCATAAGGCTTGTAAAAAGTCAATAGAGATGCTTTCTCACTGTCAGTTGGGTTTTGCCCCCTCGCTTTGAGAAAGTATTAAAAATATTAAAACCTGCTGCAGAGGTCTGCCTGCGCTGTGTTCACAGGCTTCCTAAGCTCACCAGCTTTTCTTTTGGGTGAGGCTGCTCCAGGATTTTCTGCCATTGCTCTTCTCACGGAAGGGTGGCTGGTCCGGGAACTACCTCCTTTTCATGCAGGCCCTGCTGGGGCCTGAAAAGAGTCGTGTCTGTTCATTGCCTCCCTCTGGGCTGGGGGTAGAACCCTCGCTGGGTTTCTTCAGGGCCTTAATTTAGATCTTTCAAGGTCACTTAAAAACTCTTCCTTTGATGCCCAGTGCTCCTTGCCAACTTCTAAATGGTAGTGACCGGGCCCAGCAGGGGGCTCCTTGTCTGAGGGGATGCATTTACCTACGAGAAAGGACAGTCATCCCAGCTCAAACGATATTGTCTGATCCACCATGATACCAGACTGCGGAACTGAAAAAGGAAGGATTGAGAATGACTTGCAGGCATGTCCCCCTTCGGGTTTTAATTTCTCCTGCTCAGATCACTCATTTTGCCTCTCCTCCATCTCGATTTCTTACGACGAGAAAGCAGGGAGACTGAGGCGCAGTGGTTCAGTGTGTTCTCTGAGCCTCTGGAGCTGCTGCTTCCTAGGGGCATGACATCTAGGGCAAGTTTCTTAACCTTGCCGAGCCTCAGTTTCTTGTCTCTCAAGTGGGAATGAGGTGATGTTGCTAATGATGATGATAATAATAGTATCATACTTATGGGATTGTTGTGAAGGTTAAATGAATTAAGTCATGTGAAGTGCTTAGAACACTGCCTGGCACACAGTAAGCACTCAATAATTACTAAATACTATTATCGCTACCATTACTTCTACTACGAGTACCAGTGACGATGAGAGACACCAACTAGAGAGCTGCCAGGGTACCTGTGGTGATCCCCCCCTTCAAGCTAACCCAGTGGGCGGCCTCTGGACTTGCTCTTTCTAGGGGAGGCTCTGCAGATAGAGAGGCAGCTCTTTCTGGCTTGTATCAAATTGAGCCTACGGCAGAATCCTATCACGATGTGACATTCCAGGACGCCGAGGTTTATGTATTCAAGCTGCTATAACCTTCCAGTGACAGGCTAAAATGCTCAGATTCAGAAAGACTCAGTGGTTGTTTCTGAAGACCTAGAATGAATGAAAGGCGCTGTCGCTGGACTTTCTAAGTGGCGGTTGTTCCAGATTGATTTGGCATTTACAGGAGATAAAGTTGGGTTGTTTCCTAGCACATATACGCTATAGGCCTTGCAAAACAACGGGGCCCCGAGTTCTCTTAAGAAATGTTCCAGGAATACTGACTGTGGTGGACGTTTGTTGTCTCGTGTCTCCTCCCACCTTTCGCACCAAGAGGATTCGAATGTTCCTGCGGGGAAGCCATCCCTTCCCCAGCTTAGCCACAGTTTGGGTGGGACTGGCTCCACCTCTACAGCCAGGGGAGAGAGAGCCTGGACTAGCTTCACCTAATCAGCACATCCCACTCTCCCAGCAGCAGGGTGTGGTTCAGGGGAAGGCACATGACCAGTCTGGGGCAGGAGTGAGAGAGTAAACCAGAGGACTGCGGTGGGAGCTAAGGGCAAAGACCTTATCTCCTGTCTGTGAGCTATTAGGATGTGCGATCTAGAACTGCCATCGTCATTTTGCTACCGAGCAGGAAGGGGCTGGGTCCTGGTGATATTGTTTGAGTAGCTGGATCAAGCCTCACTTGAAGACACATATGCTTGGACCCTCTCAGTTTCATAAGCCGTTACTGTCTGAGTTAGGTTTTCTCGTCACTGGCAACCCAAAGAGACCTGGCTGATATGCTGGCCATGCTTGTCACTCTCAGTGACCTCCTGCCTTGTACAACCTCCATTGCCACGGCCCTGCCTGCCAAGTGGATGCTGATGGTCCTCCAAACCGAGATGCTGCTGCTGACACAGGCTCACATGTGCAGAGATAATCCGGGTATGAAAACATGACAACATTGGCTTTTGTTTTTGGTTCAAATATTTGGGACAAATTTCTACCCAGAAAACAAGGAAGTGCTGATGTCATCCACACTGGTCTTCGCATGAAAGTAAGACAGTTTTAATAACTAGAGCTGGAAGACCTTTCCAAAGAAAGTTAAAAAAATTTCCCTAAACTCAGTGTTCCCAAGGATAGCAGGTCATTCTGAACCAGCTGAACGTAAGAGAGTCACAGTTTCCCCTTTCAACCTTGACCTCTCTACTCCTGTCCAAAAAGCAAATAAATTGGGATCTATTCAGAAAACCCCGCTCCTTTCATGAAGCATTGCAAGGCGAGCAGAGGCAAATAATACCTACTTCATCTCTCTCCCTCCCAAATTCACATTATTTCGATTCAAAGGACTCTATAGGCCACCCCCAAAACTCTTGCTCCTTAGGAATGGCTCTCCCTGAAAGATCTATAACACAACAGGAAGCAACTGGAAGGTCTGACATCTGCTGGCCTGTCAGCACTGTCCAGAGGTCCCCGTCTCCCCCCACAGGTGTAACTCATGCAGGGGCCCTGCCCGCTCATTTCCCCAGGGCTACACTCGCATTTGGATGACAAGGATTGCAGCTACATTAGTGAACACTGGTCGCCATGCTAAAATCAACCACTTTAGCTAAAGTGTGTGTTAATTATGGGCATGCAAGCAGTCAATAAAAGGTTAATGCAAAAGGCAAAGGATAAATTTCTTCCCTTACTGCATCACTTCACAGACTAAATGACCAACATTATACTTTGTGTTTTTAATCAATAGGTTTTACAGTAATGTGCTGGCCATTGATTTTAAGAAAACATATCCCGTCTTCCTCCTTGTCCCTAAACTTTGTAACAATAAAGGACAGGTAACATTTCCATGACTCTTGATGAAACGGTCAAGACGACTTCAGGAGAAATGGTGTCTGCTAAAAGATTTACTGGGATGAGCAAGCTTAAAAAAAAACATACAAAAAACTAAAACTTGATGGAGAAATATTACCAAGCACAGGCCACTGAGGAGATGAGAGAAATGAATTC